GCAGTCGAGGTCCTGATCTACCCTGGCCTGGGGCCTGGGCTTCTTGCCTCCTACCCTTCACACACCTGAGCAGCAGGTGGAAAATGCTGGGATCTCCAAGAGCCTGCTCACTCTATGATGCACAGTAGGACTGCAAGTGCTCCTGGTCTCTTTCTGTCCTAACTCTGACCTAAATTGTATGGCGTCTCCTGGAAGTTCCTAACTCAGCAGGAAGCATGCAATTCCAGTTCCTCCCCCAGAACTCCCAACTCGAGCAATTTTGAAGTACAAGAAAAGCCCAAAGACAGCGTGGGCACTGCGGTTGAATCGCGCTCCCCAGGAGGTCAGGCTCGGGTAACCGGTGTGCATAAAGTAAATTGTAATTGGGGGACACCGCCCAGTACTCCTGAGGGCTGCGAAGACACAGGTCTGAGCTGGGCGCCCCCTTCCCGAATCCGCTTCCGGGCCGAAGAGAGGGAGGGGACTTGTTGGATGGTTGGACTCTTAGTTTTTTCTCCCAAGATTGTTGATTGCCCAGGAGAGCATGTGGCCCTTCCCAACATTTCCCATTTGAATACATGAAAATGTGAGTTGATTTTGGCAACGCGAAGCTTGATCATGGCCAGAGGGACGGTTTTGTCGCCCGAGGGTGAGGCCAGGTGAGGAGCAGCTCCGGCTCCGACATCCGGCTGCGGGAGAGCCAGGTCCCAGGATAAATTTTTCAGAAACTCGGCGGAGACTCTGGGAGTTGTAGAAAAAGTGGCAAATCCAGTCAGTGACTGTTTTTGTTTTCAATAAAATAAGCGAAAGCCCTGGGTGTATATGTGTTGGACACACACACACACACACACACACACACACACACACGCACTCGCACGGCCAAGGATGCAGCCAGAACAGTAGAAGATTCCGCACAGAACTGGCCAGACAAGGCCGGTCAGCTGGTTCTAGGGCCCCTACCCAGGGGAGTTGGACTCTTGTGAGTTGTGAATTAATTCCCTTTCTAAGGACTTAAGGGTGGAAAGGGGAGAGGGAGGAAGGAATGAAGGTTAACAGGACCAAAGAGCGGCAGCGAAGGACAGCAGCTCACAAAGGTCGGTCAGACAGCAATGGGCAGGGAGGCCAGAACCCCCGCGCCCGCGCGCGCCTACGCATATCCCTTCCGTGCCGGGTCTCACTCGGATGGGAGGGCCGGGGACTCTCAAGGCAGTCAGAAGCTCACAGCAGCGTCCCGCCTTCCGCGCGCCTAAGCTGAGCCAGGTCCCAGTCGGGGTCGGCTTTGAACCATGTTAAAGACGACAGGTCTTAGTTTCACTGCGTCTGATTCTCTCCTGCAGGAGTAGGATTTAAGCTTCTTATCTGCGTGGGGGGTGGGGACGGCGGAGGAACTCGGACCACCAGGCGCCGAGCTTGACCGGGCCCACCCAGGCCTTGCTGTGATCTCAGCCCCAAGGGGAAGGTCGCCGGTGAAAAGGGGAGGGCCGAGAGGGAGGCCCTCGAGGAACTCTGGGTCACCTCCGAGGCCTGATGCCCTGGTCCGTGCTCCTCCCGCCAGTGAGTTACACTGGGCTCCTGTTCCCCAACAGGCCACGCGCTGGGCCAAGCCAGAAGCTGGTGGCCTTTCCTTCTGCTGTCTTCGTCCTGCATTCAGCTTCTCCTTGCCTCGTGAATATTTGCGGAAAGGGTTCCTGGACAGGTCATGTTGAGAAAGAGGATTAAGCTGAGGCAGGCAAGTTCCACCACTGAGCCCATGCCACCTCTCCTACAGCAGGACAGGAGCTGCTTCCGGGCAGGGTGGAGCCGTATCCTGGGTTCCTGGCCCCTGCAGTCCCTCACACCCCACGGTCCAACTGCCCCTATCGCTCTGGCTACTGCAGACCTCAGACCTGTCCCTATCCCCGACTGGGCTGGCCCGGGACGCCTCAGGAACTGCCACGTAGCTACTTTCGAGGTTCCTGCTCTGAGTCCACACACCCTACCCAAAGTTGAAGACAGGCTTAATTCCCCTAAAAACGCAGCACAGTCTTCGCAAAGCAGTTCTGCAGTAGCATAAAGGCGGATTTGGAGAAAGAGGTCGCAAATGAGCACGGTTAGGCAGCTGTCCACGATACCTGACTGCTAACTGGCCAGCATCCCTGAGAAAGCAGCACTAATTTATGTAAGCACTTATCTGTTTTCCTAGTCAAAGACCATGCTGATTCGCTGGGAAATTAGCGGGCATTTGCTACATGAAAACCTCACCTCCCGAATTTTAGGTGCCAAGGAATCCTATTGCTGAGATGAACAGAGACCAGAAGATAACCGAACTGCCACCTTTCCTTGGTGGCATCGGACAAATTTAAGAACCAAACTTTCTGCTGCGGGACGCGCGTGGGATTTGATCCAGTCTCACCCAGGGGTCTCGCCTTGGGCATCTACGGGAAAATCCAGCGTTGCATCTCTACCACAGGAGGCGCTGTGTTCGCTGGAATCTCTCAGGCGGTGGACCTGGGAACTTTCAGAGTGGATCACTACTCTAAAACCGGCAGTCCATTCGACACCATTAGTCTTGAGCTTTGAAGAAGCCTGGGGAGAAAGCTCTATTGCCATGAACAAGGGATCTTTTTTGCTTGTCTGAAGTTGACTTTTTTAAAAAGATTCCAAGTAGGTTTGGGGAAATGAGCTAAGAGAAAAATTTAGTCAATGTTTTAATTGACCTCATTTAAGGAGGCAGTGTTTTTTTTTTGTTTTTTTTTTCTTCTTCTTCTTCTTCTTCTTAAAACACCAACTTCTTGAGCACTTTAAATGCTCTTACGAAGTTGTTACAACCCATAGCAAACACCCTAGTCGGGCTTGGCTGGTAGGAGAACCAAGAGGGCGCTGAGGAATCACCCGCGGGAAGGAACAAGGAAGTTAGCCCCGAAAGTCCCCGAGCAGACTGAGGAAGCTAAGGTCCGGCTGCTGGTGGGAACTTTGTACAAGAGAACTGGTTGCTGACACACGTTCCAGGTACATTTACACAATGATGGGACTGACTTGTGGTCACAGGACCAGTCTACAGTTAGGGAGGGTTCTTGCTAAATTCCAAGTGGGTTTAATTTCACTCTTATTCCCCTCTTTTTTGTTGTTGTTGTTGTTGTTGTTCAAAAAGAATTGTAATTCAATGCGTTTATCTTTTTTTTATTTCCTTAACTGCACATCTTCACCCTCTCTGCTCCCCTGCTGATTTAAGAGATTTGTTTGGTCCAAGGACTTAACGTGATTCTCTTGCCAGATTTCAAGGAAGAAAGATTTAAAAGAACAAAGCAAGGGGGGGGGGAATGAGGTATCTATTTGGAAGACAAGTATAAACACATTTCTTAAAATGAGATTAATTGCATTTTAAACTTTGCAATACAAGAAGACGTTGCAAGGTATTAGTCACTTTAGATTTTTCTTTTATTGCTACTTAGAGAAACTTAGTGATTTTACGGAAGAGTACAACACATACACTGTCAGTCACATACACACACTCAGAAACATACTCCGTCACACATGCTCAGAAACAAACATCCTGTTACACTGAGACACACACGCACCACATCCCAACCTATCACCAACTCAGCAGCTATCATTCAGTCTCCACTTGGTCTCTCTTCCCAGGACATGTGAGCCAAGCACTACCCAGGACGAGGAGAATTTCCCAGGAACGTCACAACTGATTAGAAACCAAGCAAGAGCCTGAGGTGCTAGCCCAGCCCTCCCAGGTCAGAGACCTGACCAGGCACCACAGGCTTGGGCTCGGCCCTCCAGCTACTCATATGTGTTCCCGGAACCTGACCCTTGCTCTCCCAGCTAGGTCCAGTATTTGGGGAGATGTCCCTTCCCCATGACCTTTCCCTGTCAGAATCCAGAGGGTCGCTTCAAGCTCAGGCTCCGAGCCCGCTGGAGGGGGGCGGGAGGAGGGGCCGGGAGAGGGAGGACGCCCGACTTGGATCCGCCTGCCCTATCTGACAGACATCTGCTCTCTATCCCTTCCTCTTTACGATCGCTGCAGATGACGAGGGGAGTGGAGTGGACTGAGGCGGAAAAGAAAAGTTATGTCATAAAGATATAAACTGGTATCGTGACTCACCTGCTGTTAGCCGCAGGTACGAGTTTCGTGGCAGCGCCTCCGCTCTGCTAGCCAGGAGCCCGGGTCGGCCTAACGTCACTCGGCTGGGCTGACTCAGACGACCGGGTTTCTAGTGACAAGGCAGAAACTAGGGCTTTTCCCCTTTTCTAGCCTAAAGCCCGGGGTGGGGGGTTCTTTATTCCCCAGACTTCTCGGGTTGAACTTGGGGGAGGGGGCAGGGAACAGGCAAAAGGGCAGGAGGGGCTCGGGGCCGGCGCAGTCGCGTCCGAGGGCGGCCAATGCCCGGGGCGGGAGCCTGAGGCCACCACACGCGCGGTGGCAGAGTCGGAGCCCCACCGCCCGGCCGTCTGGGCTGCGTGGTTCCCAGCGAGAAGCCTGGCCTGCCCGCCCCGCCCCGCCTAGTTTTGCTTTTTTCCTTTTCCAAAGGGGGCTCCACACACGCCCGCCCGCGCAGCTTCCCTCTTTCCCTAGCCTCGGGGCTTAAACCAATTACACCGCTGCGCAAACACAGCGGGCCGGGCTGGGGAGGGG